CTTGGGATCGGCTTTCCAGCTGTTTCCCGACTTTATCCATTCTTTTGACATCTGCGTCCAATTCTCTAAACAGCGTGTACTCTTATACTTTGGTCTTAATGATTACACGTTTGTGGTTTGCTTTGTGTTGAAGTTGGATGGTTTCCTTAAAATATATCCTATCCACCTCCAATGTCTTTTCCTGATTTCCTCTTTAGCTGGAAGTTGGTTTGTTCGCTTCCAAAATAGGTTGTTGCTAATGCTATCCGACCAACGGATATTGAGTATACTATATAGACAACTTCGTATAAATAACTGTACCTTTTTTGTAATATAGTTGTAGTAGCCCTCCAAGTTTCAGCTCCGTACAATAGAACTGTCTTGATGCTTTTATTGAAAATTCTGACTCCTGTTGGCTGACAGTTATCTCGAGTACCGTATGTTCTTCAGTTGTAGGGATGCTGCACTTGCTTTGTCAATTTTCGCCTTCACATCTGAATCAGATCTTCATTTTTCATCAATGATGCTGCACAGGTACTTACCACTTTCCACCCCTTCCACAGCTTGGTTGGTGGCCTCTTTGTTGTATTTGAGGATCTTGTTTCTTACCTTGTGTATGTTGAGGCCTACTGCTGTAGAGTCTGCTACTACATTGGCTGTCTTCACCTGCATTTGTTGCTGTGTATGAGACAGAACAGCTAGGTCGTCTGCAAAGTTCAGATCATCCAGCTGCATTCAAGCTCTCCATTGTATTCCGTGCTTCCCCTGAGGTGCAGAGGTCTTCATAATCCAGTGTAGTCCGTCGTATGAATTCCGGATGATGTTGACGATCTTCTCAGGTACACCATAGTGTTGAAGAAAGTTCAATAAGGTTCTTCTATTCACGCTGTCAAACACCTTCCCATAGTCAAGGCAAGAGATGTATGGTAATGAATTCTATTCAGTTGATTGCTCAACAATGGTCCGTAGTGTCACGATTTGGTCTGTACACGACCGATCATCACGGAATCCAGCCTGTTGATTTCGAAGTTGGGCGTCTACTGAACCTTTCATTCGGTTCAGCAATATTCCGTTGAAAATGTTTTCTGGTACTGATATTAATGTGATGTCACTGCAGTTCTCACACTTGCTCAGTTCTTCTTTCACTGGTATTTTGATCAAGTAATGTTCTTTTCAGTCTATCGTCACTTGTTCTTGTTATAAACGTAAGTATGCCGTCGCCAATTGTTATATGCTTAAAGGAGAGGATGCTGGTTATAACAGTAGGGGTTCTTGTTATAACAGTCCTTTTACTTCTTACATGTATGTGGGACGTTAATTTATCTTAGACGAATATCTACACTAGATTCCCACCCAGTGTCTATTCTACAGGACTTCAACACAACTCAGATCAAGAACACGAGATTAGCCTGACTATAACGTCAATATATTTCCACACCAAAATCCGACACAAAGAACAGTCAATCAATAAGTGTCCATCAACAAGGAACAGTCAATACATAATAAGGATAGGGGAATACATATATAACACATAACACCTGTCATCCTATCTAATGTCTGACTCATCGAGACAACCAATCATTGTCATTCTCGCCCACACATCAGTTCTCCCTTCCAAATCTTCCTGAATAGAAAGTGGAACATCTTTGCAGTTAATTCTGTCTGAGTTCAGTACTTCAGCTAGTATGTTTCCTTGAGTAGATGTTGAAAAATTTGAATTCGTTGAGCTCGTGAGTATCTCGAAGGAAGACTGTATTAAACGATTGTAAGTCTGTTTCTCCAAAAGTTGTCCAGTGCTTCTTTAGCGTCCGTTTCATTTCGGTCACGACCAAGCGGAGATATGAAGCTATTTAAACTCCCCTCTTTGTTTCCATGTCTTACATGGATTTCCTGAACTTTTTATTTGTGCAGGTATGATCGATCTGGTTCCTGGTGGCGTGGCCAGGTGAAACCCATGTAGTTTTGTGTATGCATTTGTGGGGTGAAATAGTGCCACCCATAACCATTTCTTAATTGAGACCATGAACTGATCAATGTTAAACCACCATTGAAAACCTTGAAGCATTGGATGGCCATTTCATTCTAGTATGGGACTACTCAGCAATCCTCATCCACAATCCCACACGCGGGACTCGAACCCAGTAATTTCGGTTTCGGCAACATCATTCAAGGCTTACAAAATCTATTCATAGAAACATACTAGCTGAATCACTGAAGTTAGGCATAGAAGTAACTGCAAAGATGTTCTATGTCCAATGGGTTTCACTCATTCCTAACACCATCAGGTTGTATCTTGTCAGCTATTTGAGTAATCCTCCCGGTCTCCCACATTGTCCGGATATTCTATGTACCTATATTAATTGTTTCTCTGGTTGTTAGAATGGAGATCGGTCACATGACTTACAAAGAATCTCGTCTTTCACTGTGAGTCGTCATAATTCTTCTAAATGAAGATTCTTCAACTCTCAGGTTTGAGTTTATATCGTTTCAATGATTGTTTCTGGTTAATGTTTTTTAGCAAGGTTGTGTTACTTGGGATGAAGTTACCGATCACCTGCCCAACCCTCCTTCTTTACTGGGTTTTTGAAACAGCCGTAACGTGAGAAGAACGGCATGTTGAGAAGAAAACACTGTTTTTTGAATGTGCACACCAACTATATAGGAAATTGTTAAAGCCATCAGATTAATCAAGAATGACAAGTTATAATGACCTGGCACTTCGAGATAACTGCAGAGATATCTTGCGTTTTGTTCTGCAGAATTTCGCCGAAAGAACAAGTACCAACAGTCTGGAAAACAAGCATCTCACCAAGATAGTGACGTGATGAGCTATTGGTGAGCTTGAGAACAACAGAGGCGTCATATTACTGACAGTACTGGAAGTTTTAGACAGTGTTGCCGAACCGGATGGAAGTTTTGTTAGACACTCAAATTCGAAATTAAAATGCTAGCTTTCTTAAGGGTCAATCATGTGCCGAGTGAATCGCTACACTACTTTCATTGTTGAATAATTAGTCGAATTGAACTTGTCACTACGTCATCTTCCTAGATCATGGAGAATATTTCGATACTGTGAATAGGAAGGACTTGTAGAATCTTCAGCACTGTGGAGTGCTTGAAAAAAAATCATCATTCGAATCTCAAAGAATGAACTGAACTGCAAAGTCGTACATGGATGGCAACCCATAGATGCACTGTGAATGAAAACTTTTGTTAAACAAGGCTACTTGTTTACATCTTTTCTCTTCTGGTTGTCGAATGCATTATAAAGATCTCCACACCTCGAGAAAAGTATAATAATGCAGTGGACACGTTAAACGCATCCGGACGACTTGGATTTAACAGAAGATTTACTTCTATCCTATATACAGCAACAAATCCAGATGAAAACTACCGGTGTAGCATCAACTTCCATAGAAGTAAACCTTAGTATGTACGAGGGAAGAATCAAGATTCTAAGATACACTAGTAAATAATAGTCAAATCATACTTGATGGAAAGACAGAGACAGAAGCCTTTACGCACGTGGGCAACTTCATTGATAAACGTACAGGATGTAATGTCGATGTGGAGACACGAACTGGAAGAACAAAGGCAGCATTCTTACAATTGAAGGATATCTAGAACTTAAGAGAGTTGTCATAAAAGACCAAAGTTATGATTTTCAACACTGACGTTAAAACAGTGTTGTTGTACGAAGCTAAAACTAAGAACTACCACCATCAAAACAGTTCAAGTAATTATAAATACATGTCTACACAAGATACTCCAGATCCATTGGTCAGAGACCATCAGGAGTGACCTACCATATTAGAGAGCAAACTAGGTTTCAGTTGAAAAAGGGAATTAGAAGACAGTGAAAGTGAGCAGGACACTATCCAGAAACCACTAGGCTGCATCACAAGACATCTCTTAGCTCAAAATTCTCAAGGCACATAACTCTGGAATTTGGAAGCTGGCATCAGGAGTTTTAGTACCACAGCAACAACTAGGAATGGGAGCGCAGTACGGAGTCGTATGGAGATCAATCGTCAGCCTACTCTCCATAAAGGTTAACAAACAGGTCTAAATGATTAATATGTTAATGTTTTGTTCCCGCACTTCCAAGAATACTGTAAACATAGTTATACCCGGTTACTCTCTGCTTAAATTCATGTTATTTTGTCTCTTTCAATAAATGTCTAGACTAAAAGTTGTATTCTGGACTAGATGAAGGATGGATCGCGTATTATACTTGATTGGTCGACTACCGAGTTTGCTAATAATTTTAACATGTTTCCAAATTCTTCTAAGGTGTCAAGGCCATACAAAAATACGAATGTTCTTGTTTTGTGTACTTAGACTAACTTTTAGATAGTTTCTTTCCATAGTACTTGCTCTTAGTCTTCTTCTCGGTGCTCAATTATAGAGGAGATCACTGGAATACTAGAAAATGGCTAGAAAGTCAGTATCAACCGTTTAACTATTAGTTATATTAAATGGTGCTACAACTGTACTCCTAAACTCCCTAATTTTCAATGTTTCTTGAGTTGTTAACTTAGTTTATAATGCAAAATTCTCTTCAAAATACCACTTAATAATGAAAAAAAGTTTGTAGATATACTAAATTCTATTGATAGCTCAGGAGTTAAGACACTCGACTTTCAGCTATTAAGTTGTAGCTTCAAATCTCCTCCCCATTTTGATTTGTGCTACCAAATTATATCACTAATCCTCATAACTAGAGTGTGAACCAAAATCATGTATATAAATCTTATTTGGTCAGTGAAGTGACTCACATTCACTATTTTTTACTATTACTATTATTATAATTGTATGTATAACACCAGTAACAGCTAATTCAGTGGCATTTGTTATTTACTGTGCACATTTATACTGTCTGATTATTCTCTTACCATTATCGCGCCATACTACGCTATATATTTTTAAAATCTAAAGTAGGAAAAAATACGTCTCCCTTTAATTTAGTTCATCTTTCTCTCATAATCGGGATCTTGTTTTTTCGTTTTAATTCTTTATAGCGTAAATCCCTTGATCGATATGAAAGAATTGGAAATTTGTTAGAACAGTTTTTAAAAGGAAAGTTGCAGCATATTCACAAATTTACTAATTTACCAGGTGAGAGAAATAAAAACACAAGCGTAAATACTACTCTGTAATTTCATTTGAGTTGAAAATGTACTTTTTCCCACGTAATTTCTTCGAAAGTTGAGTTAAAACAGTATTGTGGGAGGTGAAACACTTGTGACGAATTGCAGTGGATAATTGATGCGCCTTATCATAGATTGGTTGAAGATAGAATTATAACGTTCGACATCGTACAGTGGTTAAGCCGTTGGCCACGAGACCTGAATGTCATAGGTTACGTTTGTGGCGAGGTCTTAAGTGCACATTACTTAGGAGCGCTCATACTAGAATAAAGCAATTACTCAGTGCTACGTAGTTTCTGATGGTACCCCAACTAAAATCAATCTTTGGTGAATACAACCCACAAAAGACATTGTGCTGGATAGTTATGTACGTATTCATTGCTTATTTTAAATAGTGGTTTAATTTTCAATCACTGAATCGCATGTTGGGACTGTATTTCCTCACCTTACTTCCATTTAAATAATCAGCTAATTAGTAACATTAGTGGCCAGATATTTAAACATATAAACTAGACTTTTGATTTAAAATCAAGAATTCCAACTTATAATTTGATAAGTTATGGTAGATTTTTGTTTCAATACACTTATCATTATCGAAGTTATGAATGAAATGATACACCAAAGCTTTTAGTGTACTCAGTTACTTTTAAAAATGAAAACTTTCCTCAAAATGAACTTTTTCTCTTAATAATTAAAATTTCATTGTATTAATTTGTATTACTTATTAAATTACCATTATCTTACTGGAAAGACTTATTTCACTTCGGGCTGGGGAAAAGGAGGTCACATTGTTAAATATCATTGTTAGGATAAAATAAACAAATTATTTCTTTCTACTCTTCCTTTCTACCGGTCCAAAGTTCCCTCTTACATTTTCTGGTTTGCGACAAAACAAAGTCATTGTGAGATTTGATACGATACGTGTCATTTTTACTTTTTTCGAACACATAAATATTGGTACAAGGAGGTGCCAGATACATGTGCACCACACAAATCTTATTTGATTTATGTGAGGGTTGTGATACTTCCCGGGTGCCCAAACCAAGGCGGGTGGTTTTCTTAAGGGGCCACACCCGGAGCCTTTGACCTAAAGGTCTGATCCATAAGGCAGAGGAGCATCGTTAGGAGATACAGTCCCATGGTAGTTGGTGACCAACGATTGATTCATACGCCTTTTGTTCCTTCAGGATACTGGAGCCCATGTGCACTATCGGTTTGGAATCAAGGTTTTCCAACTCCCCTAGGTAGATCCTCCATATCCACCAACCCGGTTAAAGCGTCGGGCATTCGCTTTTCGTCCTCTGAATTTCGTAAACAACGGTAATGCCGCGAGAAGGCAGTGAGTAGGACTTCCCTGGCAGAGGCTATATACGCGTGGCTACGTGATAGTATTTCGAAAGGTAATGCAGACTCTCCCCACTCTCAGACGTACCAGGGCATTTTTGGGAATACCCAACAGTTGTATTTCGTAAGAAAACAGTGATGAATATCATTAAGCAGTACAGCGCAAAAGATAATATGTGAATGTAAAGATGATAAACATGGCAAATCGGCTGATTAGGTGATGAATCCTCATCGATTGAAACGGTTGAGAGATGTATTGCAAATCAATAATTACTGTTTACTTGTACGGGCGGTGTTAGCTAGCATAAGAGTAGGTTGAACGGAAGCTAGAAGCGACTTGACAAAAATGTAGCATCAGTTTATGATGTCTTTGATTATTTGTGTAAACCGGTATATGGTAGGTGAGGACTACGTGGTTCGGATTTCGGCCAGTAGTGGGTGACGTTTAATGATGTGATTCGCAATTGTGCAGGTGGTTTCACTTTTTGTCTTCCCTCAGATTTTGAGATTTAAAATTATCTTATACTTGATATTTCACAAATGTATCCCTTCTTTGTGAATTTTATTGTCTCGGTTTAAAATTTTATACCATCACCGATACTGTTACTATTTCCATCACTATGGCATTTGTTTTGATATTTTCCCTGATTATGCCGTTATAATGTGAGACGACTTAAATAGATACACACACACAAAGGTTCTATGTTGCTTATGAATGACTGATGTGGATGAATCTTTGTTATTTCTATGATTCTAAGGTTTTGATCATTTAAAATATTCAATTATAGACCTCATTTATCTCAAGGATATCCATAGATCATTTTTTCTTCGCTGTCGAGCGGATAGCACCTTTTTTGTTTCATATCATGGCTCAAACTTCTAGTCTGAGCCACGTTAGTAGATGCAGACTACTTGGTCGGGGTCCACGTGACTATCGTAACTAATGGTTGGAAACTCTGAGTGACATGGCTCAGAATCGATCACAATGGCGCGGGTGTATACACTCTTTGTCTTCCCTTAAACCTTGAGGCTAAAATTGTTTCATATCTGTCTTTCTTCCTGTACTATATCCTTATATACAACGAGTCCCAGAGTGATGCAGGGACATCCAGCTGACGAGTCCCAAATAGGACGAAACGCGCGTCCTGGATTCCACTGCTAGCCACTCTCCATCTCTGCTAACCATGCTTGTGAATTAAGGTATATCGAGGCAATACACACAGTATGCACATATGCCAATTAGAGGCTGACCAGTTTCAGTCCTAACAAATCGATGGGAAGATTCAAACAAACAATACTAAGTTGAACTTATATACAACCTTTCTTTTATATACTACCACCATTGAATTGATTACTACGAATTTGGTGTTCATCTTTTTGTGCTAGTGGGGTATGGCAACTTGGACCGATGCATATATGTGCCTGGTCCTACATTGTAGCTGACTTACTGACTGAATTAGATTGACAACTTTTAAAAATATTGATTCTATGTTCAAATGACTTCATACAACAATCAAACCAATATCTGTCCTCCAAATTTGGTTATTTGGTTTTGTTTTGTTTTCTTAAATACTAAACTAATCTACCTTCTTTTTTTAAAGATACATAGACTTATCTAAGTTTCTACTTCATTTTTGCATTGTTTAGTAATTGCTTAAAATAGATTGGTAGTTGTTTCCATTTTGAAAAACTACGTTATAATAATTAACCTTACCTACTCATATACATTCTGTTGAGGTCACTTATTGATATACACTCTTAGGTTGCTATAACAACAACAACCGCTGAATGGCGATCATAATTTTTAAATTTCTGTTTGTTAGCTAAAATAGAAGTTAATTACGATCATTCTAGAGGATGCACTATGGATTATTTTGTCTCTTATGGTTGATATATATTAACATCTCGACTTCACTCTTTATTTCATTCTAGATTTTGAGTCCCATTATTCTATCGCAAGCATCCTCTTATTCTGTCTTCCCGAACCATATATCAGTGCTTAATCTTTGTCTTCATTATTGTTACCACATCAATTCCTTTGTTTACTCAACTTGTTGGTTTCATTGAAATCACAGACCGACCTAAGTTAGACAACTACTGGAAGCCTGGATATATTAAACAGTTGTTTCTTCCTAGCATGCGACTACTTAGTAGTGCAGATCCACAATCCTTCAACGTGGAATTGAGCCTATGACCTTCGATTTCGCGCGCGAACGCTTAACCTCTGGACCACTGGGCGGGGACTGAATGGTGTGCCAGGCTAACGTCAATCAATCCACAAAATTGTGGAACCATCTTCCATTGTCTTTTGTGAGTACCTTTCTCACACCCAACATGGTTGTTAATTTCATCTCGTACCAATATGGTTTGCCAACTTGGGCTTACGCACATCTGTACCAAGCTTTACATGGATTTTGATTAACTGACTGGCTTCACTGGAAGGTTATTTTTTACGAATCTTAGAAATAAACCATCATTTATTGAAATCTGGTTCAGCTACTATAAATAAAATCAAGTATTGAAATGTAAAATGGTATAATTCATACATAATATTTGTCAATTATCTCAGGCCATGGAAGTTCACAATTTCTTCTATTCAAAGATCCATCTCTAACTTAATTAATACTCTTCAATACACTCACTGACTGGTTTTTTTATAAGCGTGCTGATATATATGTAGACAATTGGCAGTGTACCATAAAACTTCAGTATAAAATAGTAACTTCGCATTGAAAACTATGTAGATTTTTATGACCCGGCAGATACTGTTCATTAAAACTAATCCTCATTCTGTCCTTACCAAGCTCAGTGTGTTATTTACTAAGTCTCTGGTTTTATGGAGATCTTGTTGGGTTTTGAAGTGATCACATCATAGTGACAATTCTGAGTGACGTATCAGCCGATGAGAAAACAGAGTGTAGTTACAAAGCTATTTATAAGAAAAAGTGATGGTGTGGTGATGGATATACAGTTTCAACAGGGTAACGAAAAGTTTAGCGTCTAGTAAGACTATACGTGTGATTCATCCTAACTTTTGAACCGACTTTAATGACTCAGATAGCATTTGATTATTGAGTCATTCTTACCATCATAATAAATGTTGTATCATAGGGAATATGACCTTCAGCACACACCATCACTAAATTAACTACTTCTATGAATTTGGTGTTCACATTGTTGTGCTAATGTGGTATGGCAACTTGGACCGATGCATATATGTGCCTATCCTACGTTGTAGCTGATTGACTGACTGACTGATTCTACTCTTATGCGCCTCATGTGTACTGTGTATATGTCTATCACTTATTATTTTACTCAGTACCTGTCTATTTGTCACACTATGCTTTATCCATTTTGAGTCATTTTAACGCCTGTAATGAATTGTAAAACGGATAGGCTCCTTAGAATTCTCCGCTTCGCTTCACTTCCCCACTTCTGAATTCCATGTCTGTCTGGATAAGCGATTGCCGGAAATAAATTAATCCGACTCAATCCTTATTTGACTTCTTATAACCCCGTCGCTCAAACGGAATGAGCCTAGGTGTTAAATGGAAGATTTATTTATCACGATATATTCGTTCATTCGTTCGCCCAAATTGGAGTCAGATCTCGGGCCACTAAAAATTAATTAGGATTGGGATTACGGATAAGAAGTCCGTCTAGACTTAGGAGTTACAGTTGGTAGTGTCAAAGTTAGGATATAGGGTTATAATATCCTGGAACACTCTTGACTATGCCGTAAAGCACATCATTGCTCTCAGATACTATCTGCATCAGGAGCATGTAATTCTTATAATTCGACTTATGCGCCATGTCAAACTTAATACGTGGACCCCTAAAAGTTTTTTAACAGTCTTGAGCACCTTACAAGATAATTATGAACTAATTTACTTATTTCTTAGTTCGATACACGATATCTTATGTTGCGTTTTACTTTGCACAAAATCCAATAACTACTATCTTGGATCTGATTAGTTCCCTCAAGGTAGTTGCTTGTTTTTGATTTTTTTTATCACTAACTTTGGTTCCGGCTGGATAACTACTGGAAATCAAATGATACCAGACAGTTACTTCACTCAAATTCTGAAACTCCTAAGCAGAGTGTGATCACACCACGGCCTCTCAAAATCTTCCAGTTCCATGACAGTCACGGTTTCATGAAGCTTCTGACTATCTACATTTTAAACTTCAGTCGTAATCTTTATCCAATGTTGACTTGCCTCCTTCTGGATTTTATTAACTCCAGAAGTCACAGCTTCCCATTGAAAACTACACAACGTCACTGTAATCATACTACTAACTACTTAATCTGATGCTGACGTGTACAGCCTTTCTATTAGTTCAAGACGGTGATCATTATCTTTATCGAAAACACTTGAATCTTGAGTGCGCTTACCCATTACTGTCAAACAGTCCTCATTAGATGCATTGATTTCATTTTATAACAAATAACTTGTGTTTCTGTTCCTCTCTCTCTGTTTTCAGACGGTTATTTTCTTATTGATGAAATTATTCAATTACCTGAATTCAAAAAAGAACATTGTACATATGATGAAATTATTGATGTTGTTCATAATGATGCGTTATTACGATTCAGTGTTAGAGGATCAAAAGTTCGCTTGAAACCGCCTGAATTAAATGTATGATTATATTTCATATTTCAACTTATCTTGATATTTTTCCTTGATATTTTAGAAAGACCCTGATGTAATTTTATCAAAAAAGTTAGCTTGGATTTTACGTCATGGAGCAGAGAATGTCGGAATGAAATATGAACCTGGTATGTGTATGTGTGTGTTGTTTTCACATCATCGGTTTCTTAACTAAATATTTCCATGGGTCAATGTTAAATGAATTGATTGAACACATAAATAAGTGACCTAACTGCTGTAGGTAATCTACTCACTAAACTGTTCGCTAAATCTCCACCTAAATGAATTTTATTATAAAAGTAGACTATAGTGAAGATGTTCAGCTACTCTTGGAGTAAATTTGAGAAATTAAAGCCAGTTTTTAGCCAATAGGAATGCAGGTTACATAAATAAGTAATTTCTTACATCATCAAAGCCAAAATGTTCTACAAAGTAATTGGGCAAGATTTAAGGTAAGAAATTAGAATAGAACATAAGCAATTAAGAGTACTGATAATAAATTCAATGATCAAATACTCTCTAGCCCTATATAGATGAATACTTTAAATATCAAAAACCTCAGTTATTTTTGTAACTTTATAAATTATCGTCCCCATCCTTCAACCTTCTCATATTTATCGGTTTTTGATAACTAAATATTCTAAATATTTATTCAACCTTTAACACGGTGCGAGCTATTTGTCACTGTGCTTCGAACTTTGCGCAAAAATCTAATAGCCATCTTAAATCTTATTGATCTGTTGAACTTTTTTGCTGAAAAAATTTTTCTATGAGTACTGTGGTCAGACAACAAATAATGAATGAGAGTTGTACGGATGGTGAATTAATTCAAATAATATATTAACATCATTGGGTCCCGGTTGATTGGTGTAAAGATTAAACAATCGCTCACGAGACCGAAGGCCTTGAGTTCAATTGCTGGTTATGAAGTCATGGATGCTCACTGTTATGCAGTACCATGCTAGGGTGAAGCGGCCATTAAGTGCTTCCAGATTTTAATAGTGCTTTGGATAAGATCAGTTCGTGATTTCAACTGTGAAAATAATTGGTCAATCATGAAAATAAAAGTTACAAAGTAATCAATATAACATCACTTATACCCATTGCATCTCTTTGTACATACCATACCACACTAAATATCTGAAAAGATATATACTGCACAAAAAGTTATTTAACCTACGCGATAGCTATACAGTGATTTGCATTCAAAGTAAACGAATACGGTAGTATTATGAATTAAGTTTCGTCTTATATATATCGATTCGGCAAAAATTTGCTGGAGTAGTAATAGAGTAATCAAACGATACGATAGTTTTCCTACATCTAGTTAGACTATTACTGATATAACTTGTGGTTTACAATATTTCCCTCTCTTTCTCTCTGAGGTTTGCTACACTACACTAAATTGGACACTTGAATGATATACAATACATGGAGATTAGATCACCATACATCAGATACACGATTCACGATCAAGAATAGAGAACCTTAGTAAATGCTAGACAATACTTGATTGCATACAATTACAAGCAATCTACACTCAACAAGTTAAGAGTATAAATCAATGAGAGGAAAGGAAATCATATATTTCATAGTCAATAGGTTAAGTGACTGTTTGTCTACGCTTAGTGACCAATAATGTTTTACTCCCACTACCACACATCAACTATCTAATTTTTAAAGTTGAATTCACCAGTCAATTTAAGCTAGACCACTATTGAAAACCTGGAAGTACTGGATGGTCGTTTCGTCCGAGTATGGGACTCTTCAACAATGGTAATCTGGCTTAGTTTGACTCCTGAATTCAACTGTTCAAATACTGCAATCTTCGCAAATCCCCACACTGATAATTATCTGGTTGTTTAGATCGAATTTCAAATGAATCGAGGTTCGAGCTTGTGACCTTTATTGATGGCAATTGTTAAATGTTCTGACTTTAATCAACAATTGTCTATTATATGTGTAAAGTATAATTAATAAAAACTAATTGTTATTCTTACTATAGGAAGCATTTTAGAGAGATTCTTGAGTTTCATAGTTTACTGAATGTTATAAATTGATTTGCTTTTATTAATACTATTAATATTTACTCATTTCGCGTTAAATTTCTATAGGTGGTTACCTTTATGTGGATAAAATACTTCAATTGAAACCGTTTCAAGGGGTTCGACTGGAAGATATTTCACGTGTTGTTAATTCGAACGATAAAAAACGCTATGAACTGTCGACAAATCCTGAAAATGGTCTGTTAAGAATTAGAGCTTATCAAGGTCATACTGTTACAGTAAGTGAATAAATGTATCTGTACATAATTTCCCACTATTTTCCGGTCGTTTATATTTCTTGCTCCTTGTGAATATAGACATAAATGATGTTTCTCTCTTAATTTGAAAGCGAAGTAATCAGCTAATTATAAATTAGCTTGATATCAAGGATTATATTATGAAGCGATGTGATTTCTACCGTATATTTTCTACTTGTCATTTAATTCAACAGTTAAATACAAATTCAAATATTTAACTTTCACGTACACACAAGTATGTTGTATACTATATTTCCGGTACCCAAAACACCTTAGTAATTTTGACTCTTCAGTGAAACTACACATACTATCTAATTAGTCCTAGGTCTATTAAATGTACATATTAGAAGTTCTGATGCTCATTTGAAGATAAATATATCAGAGAGTACATTATCGTCAATATGAGTTTATTGATTAACAAAAGTGTGTTAAGTTTTGTAAATCACGTCCTTTTTACAATAGTATTTCATTTAAATTAGTTTTTATTACACTTGTTAGATAGTAATCAGTAAGAAACCTTTAAACCCTTAGTTTTGTGCTACTTGGTAGTCATCATCAATATGTATTTAGTTATGAGTCATGTGTCTGTTTGCTAAATCAATGTTTTAGTTTACTGTTCGTCAGTTCGCTTTATATTGTTTTGCTGCTATAAAATTATAACCTATGAAGTCAAAAAATATGTCTAACCCTTTGGATTTGTTTGTCATCATCTAAGCTCTAAAAAGTTAAATAACACAACATAGAATCACTTACTATTCATTATCATGATAAAATTCATCCATAAGAATCACGTACCCAGTAGATAGCAAACATCCTACAGAATAATACGGCCTGTATATTACCGGACGCGGTCATCCCAATTATCAATATAATATGCTAAATAAATAAAATGACATTACCAGGGAAGACTTTACTTCCATTTACTTGAATGTCAAAAAGCCTACAGGTCTGCCAATTAAAAAGAAAGTATACTGTTCATAAGTCCGCATCATTTTGCTTTACTAATGTGAAATATAACATGAAAGCACAAACTATGTATGAACTGCAAATATATATGATGAAACCACTAAGTAAGTGATTCTGTGGTTAGATATAGAATACTAGATAAAATACAAGAAAGTTGGTTGATTAAACCATAAAATCCAACAACCGGCAAAATAAGCTAGGAGTCTTTAGATTAAGACAGGATATCAGTGCAGGAAATCATTGAGTGCCTAGTCTGTGCCACGTTCAAAGGTGGAAAAGTTTTAAATTTAATCCTGTGAAATTGTTTTAATCTATATTTGTAAGCAAATCCGCTCGCAGTCCCACCAGCGTTCTTTGTGGTTCAAAGTCCAGGTAAAGGAAGAGGGTTGGGCAGGTGATCGGTAACTTCATCCCAAGTAACACAACCTTGCTAAAAAACATTAACCAGAAACAATCATTGAAACGATATAAACTCAAACCTGAGAGTTGAAGAATCTTCATTTAGAAGAATTATGACGACTCACAGTGAAAGACGAGATTCTTTGTAAGTCATGTGACCGATCTCCATTCTAACAACCAGAGAAACAATTAATATAGGTACATAGAATATCCGGACAATGTGGAAGACCGGGAGGACTACTCAAATAGCTGACAAGATACAACCTGATGGTGTTAGGAATAAATGGAACCCATTAGAGGCACATTAGACAGAATAGATTAATTTCAAGAGAGATGCTGTCGCACTCTGGTCATTAGAAAGAAAATGCTCCACACACACAAGGATTTGCAGTGATGTTGTCTAAAGAGGCACGGGAAGCACTCATAGGATGGGATTATAAAAAACCAATAACTTTAAGTTGCCTGGAGGTGTTGTGCGCCGATAAACACTAACAATAATGCATCTCTGTAGACAGCCTGGATGAGATTGAAGATGTAAGAAACATGATGACACCAATGAATAAGAACAGAACAAGAGCGGAGAAAGAAAGCCAAGACACAAGGCAGACAAACGTGTGAAAATGAGCATTGTGTGTGAGAAGCAGTAATTATGTAGTGGACCTTACAAGAATAACTATGAGAGAAGGAAACATGGCGGAATTATCTGATACAATCAAGAAACTCACAGGAAATCATTGGATGAAATATTACTAATCTTAGTTTAATCTGAATACCGTTAAATGATCTATAAGTAAAGTATTACTTATGAATTGTATGAAATCATCCTGCTAAAAATTAGTGATTATTTTATGAAACTAAACTCTCATCATTATAATGAATTACATTCCAAAAAGATAATACTGACTAGAATAACACCTTAATAAATTGTTATTTAGTTGGATAAAATAATTTATCTGTTACTGACTAATGATAACTTATAGATATTTATATTTTTTATGATTACAGCTCATAGATGAACTTAACATGTTGCTTATTTTTAAACCACTTTCGTATTGTAAATAATACTCACTTTGAAAAATAATTTCTGTGTGAATGAATGAACATCCTCTACTTGATTACGGCGTAAACGGTGTGTAGAGCTTCGGCACTCTCGAACGCCTAGAAACTCTAGTTTACTGTTATAACTATTAATATATATTCCTTATTACGACCCAGCTATTCCTATTGCTTAGTATTCTTGAACACCAATACACTCGACAAGTCCCCAAATCAGAACACGGTTGAACAGAGAAGAAATTATATTCCAAATAACAAGGATAGATGGGAGTAAGAAGCGCAATAAGAAATACGTTAGTATATCTATAGATTTTACATGAGAAGCTTCTAGAGTCTTCTCCAAGCAACGACTAGAGCTGATTAGATAAGAATTAGACAATCAGCGTGCAGCAACATCATCATGCATAAAACATGCTTTAATCCAATCTATGTCCCGCTAACATTTACAAATCAAGAGACGGAAGAAAGCAGGAAAAGCGGTTGTTAAGTTTTAGAAATGTACGGAGAAACAGGGGGGTATTTATATTTCTTAGTATGGGCTACAACATCATCATAATACAGCCAATCATACCATTCCACGTCGATACTGTCGAAAGTTCTATCGGGTTCTGATTAGATCCAATCTGTTCAAGTCCTTTATACCCTCTGGAGGCTTTGTCACTCTTTCTGGGAGCCGTTCCAATAATATTGTTCAATATTGTGATTCAATTGAATTCATTTATTAGATATGTACGCCGTTTGATCCCTGTCCAGCAGTCTAGGGGTTAAACGTTCGCTCATGAGACTGAATATTCTAGGTTGGGATCCCTGTGGTATGATCGTGTATGGACACTGCTGAGTGGTCCCAAACTAAACGGATATCTATTGCCTATGGGTTTTTAATAGTGGTTTGGCTAAAAACAGTCCGTGATTTAACCTACGAAAATTCTACAGTCTGCACGAAACCCTATGCTGTTATTTTCTTGATATTTCCACGTACTTGCTCTCTACTTATCATACCAATCTACATGTATATATGAGCCTGTGTGACTGCGTACATGATCATTCAGCTTACTCGACTATTTAGCTTCCAATCGCTCTGGTGCGGTCAAGGGTGGATAGATTCCTTTCTCGCTCTAAAAGCTCTATCAAATGACCACGCGTATGTAGCCACTCCCAAGGAAGTTCTACTCACTGCCTTATCGCAGTGGGAGTGTTGTTTACGAAACTGGTAAAACTGAAAGCGAATGTCCAGCGCTTAAATCAGGTTGGCGGGTACGGAGGACCCACCTAGGGGAGTTGAAAAACCGTGATTCCAAGCCAATGGTCACATGGGCTCCATGATCCTGAGGGATCAGATGGCGTGCGAACCTGTTGCTGGTCATCTTCTACCATTGGACTGTATCTCCCAACGTTGCCCCACTGTCTTATGGATTAAACCTCTAGGTTTAAGGCTCGCGCAGTTGCCCCCTCAAGAAAATCACCCACTTCAGCTTCGCCACTCGAGCATTACCCTAGCCCACTCAGAAAGTTAATGATTTATTGTGTGACGCACATATATTTTGGTGCTCCTTCCAATCAATGTTTATCTGGTTAAATAAATAATATTCATCTGGCCTACTCATTTATTCTCTTACGCGCCCAAACAGTAATTCCTTATTCTCTCTACTACTGATTTTCATGTTAAATATTAATTAATGAATTTTCTGGCTTCCTTTTGTGGTTTCTAGAGTGTAACAAACTGTGTTTTTTTCAACTCAAAGTATTTCTATTTTAACGGTCCGTTTCATTTCTATTTTCATTGATATTAGTAGTGTAAATTCAGAATAAAATCTTTATATATATCCACCATTAATTCTTACTAAATTCGTATAATTTCATACACGATATAGTCTTCCATCAAACATTTGATCAGATGTCTAATGACATTATTTTTTTACAACATATTACCCTTATTTATTCTGATCATTACACCGTACAATTCCAAGTGAACATATAAACTTATTCAAATTTAACATTGAATATAACTCATCTTAAATATTAGCAATTTTCAGTATGAGGTTGTGAAGGTTGTTGAGTTTCATTGAAACCATAAACCGATCTAATTTAGACCACCATTGAAAATTTGAAAGCACTTGACAGTCGTTTCGTTCTAGTATGAGACTCCTCAGTAGTGTGTATCCACGATCCCACACTCCGGGACTCAAATTCAGAAACTTCGGCCTTGCGTGTAAATCTTTAACCTCTTGTGCTTTTTAGTTTCCTAATTTAGATCAGTTCATGATTTCAATGAAATTAACTATTTTACTGTATTTTACAAACAATCCTAAATTTACAGGCTATAATCTTAAACAATGTAGTTTGCCTTAAACCTGATTTTCGTTTTTTGGAATTATTAATTTGGATATATAAGTGTAGAATTAAAAGACAATTTATTGAAAAAGTATGCTCTTCGTTTATTTATCAATGTCTTAATATAATTAAATATTTTTTCCCAATTTAGTCAAAATACATTTATTTCATAGGGCTTTACTTATTAATCACGTTGTCTTAATCAGTATACACATATACGAATACATATG